AATTGAGGTTAATGGAGCAGAAGAGTCTTTATCAGCTTGAATAAAAAAATGTGGCTGAAGGAAAGAAAACAGAGAGCTGTGGTAAATGTTGTTTTTCAGACTGGAGGACAGCAGACACTGATATTCACAAAGCTGAGTGTTTGATAAAAACACTTTTGATAAAATAGTAATGACTTGGACTTTGGAATACAGATTAAAGTGTCATAATTTGCTGATTATACAAAACATAGAGGTGTGTAAAACAGTGAGGTTGATGTAATACAACTACAACAGGGCATGAATACACTGGAAGAATGTGTAGATAAGTGGCAGATGGAATTTAATAGAAATATGAGGTGATGAATTTCATCAAAAAAGAGACAGGGAGAGGAAATATAGACTTAAAGACAAGTGAGGCATGTGAAGGGCCAGATGGACCTGGGAGCTCATGTGCTTCGGTCTTTGAAGATAGCAGGATACTAATTCCATGACTACCCGTCAGAAATGACTACTCTTGGATAAGTGGTGAGGTAAGGACCTTACTCAACAATGCTCTTTAAGGTGTCAAGAAGTCTATTGATAATCATCGCCTGAAACATGATGAGAGGGAAAGAGAACCTGTGACAGAACATCTTGAAGTGAGAGCATGTGAGAGAGAACACAACAACATGAATACGAGAACACAAATCATTCAATAAGGAAATGTATATCTTTAAATATTAAAACAAGCATTAAGGACCTTTGGAGCAGGGAGAACAAGTATTCTCCACAATCACGGGAGGCACGGTGGCTCAGTGGTTAGCACTGTTGCCTCACAGCACCAGGGACCCGGGTTCGATTCCAGCCTCGGACGATTGTCTGTGTGGGGTTTGCATATTCTCCCCGTGTCTGCGTGGTTTTCCTCCTGGTGCTCCAGTTTCCTCCCACAGTCCAAAGATTTGCAGGTTAGGTGGATTGGCCATGCTAAATTGCCCATAGTGCCAAGGGATGTTTACGTTAGGTGGATTACACACGGGAAATTAGGGGAATGGGTCTGGGTGCGATGCTCTTCAGAGGGCGGTGTGGACTTGTTGGGCCGAATGGCCTGTTTCCACACTGTAGGGTTTCTATGATTCTATGAATCACACTATTCTTCAAATCTGGTGGGATCATAGCCAACAGCATTTGAAAATTTCAATGTTGACACTTTCCCTCGTTTCTGACCAAGTTACTCTCACTTTCTGGGGTTATTAGCTAAAAGCTGGCAGTAACTCTTGTGCTGTTTCCCCAGTGGAGGGATGACAGAGTGACCTGTCTTTTATCCAGTCAGTTCAGACCCTTGTTTTCCATCTTCCCACTCACTCAACTTCAACACCTTTCCACACCTTTAAGGTCCTTCACTGTATTTACTGGTGCAGGTGCACAGGAGTATTGAGGCTTCTTTAGTAGCATGAGTCTTGCCAGGAACAAATGGCAGAATAGATCTGGGGTTGCAGCAGATGCACAGGTTGGAATTCTCACTGGAACTCCAACCTTTACTGGGTCAAACATTAAAAAATTACTGGGGCTTGGATAGCATTCTTATATATTCAGCCACACACAAATTAGCCATTCAAGTCTGCTCGTAAAAGAATTATACAAGGAAAGGGAGGCAGTTGCACGTTAGGAGTTACCAATTCAAAAACTGATAAACCACTACCACAGTTAATTTTATATTGATGAGGTACTGAATCAAACAAAACAAGGTAAGCAGACCAGCATTTTTAAAAGTATGAAGTTCTGAAGAAGGGTAACTGGATTCAAACTGTTAACTCTGCTATCTCTCCAGTTGCTGCCAGATCTGCTGAGTTTCTCCAGCATTTTCTATTTTTGTTTCAGATTTCCAGCATCAGTAGTTCTTAGTTTTAACATTAAAAGTACCATGGTCACTTTAAGACACATTTCTAAGTAATTTGCTGTCAAAATGCCTCTTTTCACTATTCCAGAAGAAACTTTTTGGCATCAGTTTAATTCATTCCCTCAGTGATGTTATACTTGGCTGGTTTACAGAATGCTACAGGAGATGAAAACATGCATATCATTGAGGGGTTGTCCACCAGATTCTTAAAAAAATTTTTCCTTTCACGTTTGCCTTTCCCTTCTCAAAAACCCACACTGGCAATCAACTAACAAAGCAACCAATTAAATGGCTTTTTGAAAGCCTGTTAGTGATGTTGTTCTGTAACTAATCACAACAGCAGTTCTGGGATGTTCTCTGCCCATCCTTCTTACTCAGAGAGATGCAGAGAAACACTTTGCTTTCCACTCATTGCTTCTTCCCCATCCCCTGCCCAATCAATACTCAGGCTGAGATTAGATTTGCAATTGTCTACTATAAAGTATAAATTTAACTTGCTTTTCTAAGTTTTCTAACTGCTGTTATATTAAGGCCAGAAAAATTAAGGAATTAGTACGAGTTGTAGAATGATAACAATCAGATTGCATTAAGTGATCAAACTCAAAATGAGAAAGCCAGTCATTTTCAGTCACTGGCAGAAGCCAGTGTGTGGCTTCTTGCCCAAAATGTTGCATACTTAAAACATTCACAGATCAAGTATTTCCTGTCAAAATGTTGGCCAGTGGAAGCACAAGTAAAGACTTACCAGCTGTTTCCAACTATATCAATGAAAAACAAACTATAGCCAGAGTTCAAAATGCAGAGAAAGCCTCAACGTATTTAATCTAAAACAAAGAAGAAAAAATGCTACTAAGGAGGTTGCAGTGGAGTAATACCTGCATAGTAGTGCCAATGCATAGCATCACAAATCACAGGGATGTTGGATTGATGCATGACCTGGCTGAGCAATTAAGAGTACTAGGCAGGGAAACACAGTTCCTCAACTTAAAGGAGTATTAAAAGTACAGACCGGAGGCCGGATCCAGTCCAGATACTTTTACGTGGCTACAGGCTCCAGAATCTGCTTGCCCGCTGGTGGCATTTGAATATGTGGGGTGACGTGGAGTGGCTGAACTTGTCTACTTGGCATTGAAAGCCTTTTCAATTTTTCAGTAATCGTTCATGGGATGTTGGAGTCACTGGCCAGGCCAGCATACATTGCTCAACCTTAATTGCCCTGGAGAAGGCATTGGTGAACTGTCTTCTTGAACTGCTGCGGCCATGATGTGGTGAAGGAGTGAGTTTCAGGATTTAGACCCAGTGACAGGGAAGAAACAATTATCAGAATTCCAAGTTAAGACGATGCGTGGCTTGGAAGGAATTTGCAAGTGGTGGTATTCTCATGTATCTGCTGCCCTTCTAAGGGGAGAGAAGACATGGGTTTGGGAGATGCTACTGAAGGAGCCTCAGTGAGATCCCGCACTAAATCCTGCATGCTGTTGCCACTGTCCAGTGGTGGCAGACAAGGTTTCACTCAAGCAGACTGCCTTATTGGGAATGGTGTCAAGCTTCTTGGATGTTGTTTGAACTACACTTATCTTGATAAGTGCAAAGTATTCTAGCACACTGCTGATTTTTGCCTTCTAGACAGTAGATAGGCTTTTCAGAGTCGAATGGTGAGTTACTCACTTCAGAAGTCCTAGCCTCTGACCAGTTCTTGTAGCCACATTGTTTATACGGCTGGTCTAATGCAGTTTCTGTTCCATGGTGACCTGCCCAAAGGTGGGGAATTCAGCAAAGATAATGCCACTGAATATCAAGAGGAAGTGGATGATGCTTGGTATTTGTGCAGCTCCAATTCTGTTTGCCATATATCAGCTTCAGTTTGAATGTTGTTTAGGTGGAACACAAACTTCTTTATATTCTGCAAAGTCCTGATGGTGCTGAACATTGTGCAATCATTAAAACACTTCCCACTTCTGACCTTATTATAAAGAAAAGGTCACTGACAACAGCTGAAGACGGTTGGGCCTAGGACATTACTCTGAGGAACTTAGCAGGCTCTTGTGATGCAGTGGTTATGTTCCTACTTCAGTACCAGGAGGCGTGGGTTCAAGTCCCACCTGCTCCAGAGGTCTATCATAACATCTCTGAACAGGTTGATTAACAATACCTACCTTGAGGAACTCTTGCTAATGATGTCCTGGGGCTGAGACAATTGGCCTCCAACCCCCATAGCTATCTTCCTTTGAGCCTGGTATGACTTCAGCCAAAGCTTCATTCCATCACCAGCCTGCACAATTGCCATTAACTTAAAAATTTGTGAGATCAAACACTGACTTCATCTCAAGCACAGTCACCTTCAACTCGCCTCTGAAATTCAGCCCTGTTATCCATGTTTGACCAAAGCTATAATGAGGTCAGGAGCTGAGACAATCTGGCAGAATCCAAAATGAGCATCAGTGAACAGCTTACTGCTGAGTCAGCTTTCACCATTTTGCTAATGATTGGAAGATCATTCATGGGAATGGCCCACTGTTGCTTGGGATGGGGAATTTCTGGGGTTAGGGGATATGGGGGTGGTAGTGATAGAGTTAGAAGCAAGGGCATGGTATGGCTTGCAGTCACCACTCTCCACCCCAGGTCCAGTCCCTCCATCATGCAGATTCATACAGATTCAGATGACCACCTCAGTTTAAAGGACATTCTTTTCAATTTCAAAATGCTCAGATCAGAAGCTAATTTAGAGACAATAACAGCTCTTACAGTTAACACAAGTTCCGTAAAATTCAAATAAAGTTGACTTCATCTTTTCTTTTACTCTCAGGGATGTAGTGAGCATAGCAAAGGTTAATAATTGCCCAACCTTAATTACCATGAGCACATTATGGCAGGTCATCTTCAACCACTGGAGCCCTCAGAGCCGGTTCTACAATGTTCCTAGGGAGGGCACTCCAAATATATAGGAGCTAAAATAAAGGAGCTAAAATAACTTCAATGGAGGCACACTGGCGATGTTACCTAGCAGGGTGACAAAACGTTTGTAACTAAACTCACTGGCTCAGCAAGCAGGTCTGCAACCTCATCCACAACCCGAGCCACAAACCTTCTCAAAAATTTTAAATAAAGGAGCATCAGCACATGCTGGTATGAAGATAATGTGTACCTTGGAGGTGATTGTTGCTCCTGTTCTTCTCACAGAGGTTTTGGGAGTTGTTGGCAAAATAATCGTGGCGAGTTGTTGCAGTACACTTCATGTATTGCAGCCAAAAGATGCCAGTGATGGAGGTGATATACTGAGACCAGTGAAATGAAGATCATCAAACATGTTCAAGTGTTAGATGTTACTAAAACTACAGCCATTTCAACAAAAAGTGAGCATTCAGTTATAGACAAAAGTGAGCTTTTTCAATGTTAAAGCAGGTTTGTTAAGTCAGCATAAGTCAGAAAGCGAACCCCTCATCATGGAGAACCCAACCTCTAGCCACTGTTAAGGTGGATCCATTGTTTTCCAGCACTCCCGTTCTGCAATAAAAACCCAATTTACAGCATTTTGACTGTACCTTATCAAATTTATATAATTCAGAGCAAACAAATAAAGGAATGAATACCTTCCCTAGTGTTATAAAGTGTTCTAATAATTACGAAAATTAAAATACTTTGCTCGATTATTTCTGCAATTTGTTTACATTAAGCCACAATAAGCAGAATGAATAGCACTCTCGTAGGACTAATTGGGCCGAATATGGCTTTAATAGAAATAAATGGGAACAGATCTTGCTGAATTTGCTTGCAACTGTCCTAAGTCAGCTGGATATGAAGCAAGATCTTCCAGAATGAGGAGACGTACGTGAATATAAATGTTCAACAATTAAAGTGACCCAAAACACAGGGAAATTAAAGTGACTATGAATTATGCAGGAACTGCGCCTTATGCTCAGGATCTCCATCTTCAAAGTATAGTAAAGGTGAGATAACACGGTGTAGAGCTGGATGAACACAGCAGGCCAAGCACCATCAGAGGAGCAGGAAAGCTGACGTTTCGGGTCGAGACCCTTCTTCAGATTTTCTT